AATATATATATACCTTAGATAATGACATTCATATCACTATATTTTTTACAGTAATAAACCTTTTATAAAATCCAGCTCTGGTAGCGATTGAACAGAAGGAGATAGATTTCATTCTATCCGCTTATCGTTTGTCCCAATCCGATCCAGTTCTCCGTTCTCGTCGGATTCGATGGCGGCGAGCGAGGTAGAATGGGAGCGTTGCTGCTGCGCATCGATTGCATCAGGCGAATTCTAGGGTTTTAGATTGTGGTGTCGTGGGATTGAGGTGGAGTGGGTAGGAGGGTGTGGAGAAGATGATCTCTGCGGGGCTTAATCTTGTGATGACGGTTATTGGATTTGCGGTGAGTACGATGTTCATCGTATTCGTATGCACGAGGCTTATCTGTGCTAGAATCCAACTACAGGCGTCGAGGAGGTCATTCCCTGCGGCTTCCGCTTATGATCTAAGCATCGTGAGTACTGCTCGCCATTCCATTTCGAGTTTGTTTCTTCTTTGTTTGAGAAAGGTCTAGGTTTGTGACCGCTAGGTTTCTGTTGGACATAATGATGGAGGGATCGTACGACTTTTTGGCCGAGGAATAGTGGTTATTTGTACTGTTTTCTATTTCGGCTAAGATGAAAACAGCTTCCTGGTGACGAGTTTGGTATTAAAATTGGTGTTTAAGATAACATGGTTTACATTTCTGCTTAATTTGAGATTTAAGTTTCTAATTCCGATAGTTAGAGCAGCAAAGTGCGCTCTTTGCCTGTGTAACTTTAGATTAAGGGTATATTAAACGTACTGGTTAATAGTTCTGTTCGATTGGGCTAGCTCTGGCTCTTATTAAGCTTCTAATTCCTATTTTTTTCAGTCCTTTTGTTTTATCGGCTTTCTGAAGATGTTAAAGGTCTTAAAAGTTCCGACTTTTATGTATCAGCGCTGCGCGTTCTCATTGTTTGATCCTATATTTGTGTGATATCTTCGCAATTGTGTCGTCTCCAGATGGCTTTCTTCTAGTGTTTTTCTTTTTGCTGATTTTTTTCTTGTTTCCTTCCAAGGGATTTATCTGGTCAGTAAGCATGAACATGTAGTTATTGCTTTGAACATATTAAAGGTTTTTCACATCAAACTAGTTAACTACTTTGTCTTATGATTGTTTTATTTCTGAAATAGATGGAGCGTGGGGTTCATGGGCTTGAGCCTGTTGTGGTGTCAAGTTTTCCTACAAAGTTTGTTGACCAGTTCGCACATGGACAAGATACACAGTAAGTTCTGTCTTTTACATTATATCATGCAGTGATTTATCTTTGCATGGCTTTGACTTTGGTAAATTTGTCTTTATGTTAGCAGAATCAAATTTCTAGCACTAATTTGCAATTTATCAGCAAAATAAACTTTTTTTTTAATAAGAAAAAAGATAAAGCATGCTTTTTTTTACGTTATATTACATGTTTTATAGTCAACATTATTTACAGCTTTGTTAGGATTTTTATTCATAGTGCTTTCAGTAAGTAAAACGAAACAATCATATCGAGATTGGATTAATGATCACAGCTAGGCCAGTCAGCATTTTTTAACCGGTTTTTAGAAGATTTTGATGTCTAGAATATGCTTAATACCACTTGATAGTAAAATAATTTTGCAAACTTAATTTTTTCCGTTCCATTCAATCATTCTGGATATGTTTGTATTCGGTGCTTTCCATTCTTTCTCTCTCAACTTTTTAATGATTTTGAAGTCATCATAGCACTCCTTGCATTTAGCTTTTTTTGACAGAATTACATAGCTGAGCTTCGATGCCTTATGCTTTCAAATCCTTCCTTTGATTTACCTTTCCAGGAGTTAAAAAAAAAGATTTTTTTTACGAAGGATATAAAAATTCTAGAACATTAAACTTCCTTTGATTTACCTTTCCAGGAGTTAAAAAAAAAAAAGATTTTTTTTATAAAGGATATAAAAATTCTAGAACATTAAATATTCGGAGAAGAGCTTGCAAATTTTTTGCATAATGGTATCAATTTAAAAAAGGAAATTTATGTTGATTATTGTTGTAGTGA